GATCCCTCACTGGCTCAGCGGGGTCTGCCACTGGCTCAGCAGGGATCTACCTGCAACATGCTGACCCAGACTCAGGTGCACCAGATTACTGCCCGGCTCCTCAGCGTTATTTCCACACACACATACACCCCCGGCCTACCCGGACCCATGGGTAGGCTTCTAGCTCCTCTGGGTGCACCGCTAAGGCTCTCTTTGGTGCTCGCCTCCAGCCATGGTGCAAAAGTGTCTCTTGCCTCTGGACACTCCTCCTCAACTGAGCAGCGAGGCCAGTTTTTATGCTTTCTCTTCTTGTCCTGCCCCTCCGCTTCTGGTGGGTGGGATGGGACCTCCTGGCTCCACCCACCAGGCAGTTTGGGGCATGTCCCCAGCATCTGTGGCTGATGGAGGCCACGCCTCCTCACTACATATAGACAATAGATTTTTGTTAAACAAAACTTGATTCATTCCTTGCTGAGATTTCAAGTTTGGTTCATAAAGACAACTGTGCAGTTGTCATATACTTAAACTTTTTCCAAGTGTTTGAATTAGTATCATACAATATTCTGATTTTAAAAAAGAGTGGGGTCCAATATCAGCAAAGCACATGTTCAATTGATTAAGACTTGACTAATAGATCTCAAAAAAGAGCTATTAACAACGAATCATCATTGAATAATGATGTAGCTGGTGGGGTTTCACAAGGATCGGTACTGGCCCCAATAAGGCTCAAAATTTTTATCAATGACCTGGAACTAAATAGAAAATGACTGCTAATAACATTTGCAGATGACACAAAGATTGGTGGAATAGTAAATAATGATGAGGACAGGTTGTCATACGGGATGATATGGATCTCTTGTTTAGTGGGCCCAGGGAAACAAAATATGTTTAACACAGCTAAATGCCATCTAGGAACAAGGAACACTGGTCAGACCTACAGAATGGCAGATGGTATCCTGGAAAGCAGTGATCCTGAAAAAGATTTATACTTCATCACAGACAAGAAACTGGGACCAAAAGGGCTAATTTGGTCTTTGTGTGTATAAAAAGGGGAATAGTGAGAAAGAGAGTGGAGAGAAGATTTTATCTCTATATGGCATTGATGAGACTGAGGCTATGTCTCGACTACAGGCTTCTTGCACAAGAAGCTTTTTTCGGAAAAGATCTCCCAAAAATCCTTCTTGTGAAAGACAGCGTCCACATTGCAAAAGTGCATCGAAAAAGTTATTCCAGACTACCATCTCGTGTAAGCAGTGATTGCGATGGACAGAATGGCCACCAGATCACCTGTGCTTTTTCCTCTTACCTCTTCTTCCAAAAAACCTCCTTCTTCCCCGTTCATACATGCCTTTTTCCAAAAGAATTCAAAAGGCTTCTTCCTCGTAAAATGAGGATTACCAATTGTGTAAAAAGTCCTTTGTTCTTTTGATTTCCTGTCAAAAGAACTCACTTGTAGTGTGGATGTAACTCAAGTTTTGTCGGAAAAACAGCCAGTTTTCCGACAAAACGCTGTAGACTAGACATAGCCTGAGACTGGAATACCGAAGTCAGTCCTGGTGTTCAGATTTTTAAAAGAATACTGAACAATTTGAGATGGTGCAGGAAAAAGCTACAAAAATTGAGAGTCAGAGAAAATGTCCTATGGTAACAGGATTAAAGAGCTTACAGTGAGAACCAATGGCTGGAAACTGAAGCCAGAAAAATTCAGTTTAGAAAGAAGGCCCAATTTTTTGCAGTGTCAGTGATAAACCACTGGAACAAACTACCAATCTCCATCAATTGGTGTCTTCGAATCAAAACTGGATACCTGTCCAGAAGATATGCTTTAGACAATCACAAATTACTAGGCTCAATACAGGGGTAACAGAATGAAAAATTAATGGTCTGTGATGTAAAGGAGGGCAGACTAGATGTCTGATGATTCCTTCTAGCATTAAACTCTATGAATCCGTACAGGCTTTTATAGATATTAGGGATTTCAAAATGTTAAAATTAAACACAGTGAAGTCAAATCCCGAGCTAGTTTAAATCAAGATATCAAAGAAGTCAAGGAAGCTACACCAATTTACACCAGCTGAGGATCTGGCTCAGCTCTCCCAAAAGGAATAAAATATGCATGTGTTGTGCTGGAGTCTGTCCATTAACTTCAGTGGGCTTTGGATTAGGGCCAGAGTTGGCTGTAAGTATGGCTTCTGCCTGCACAACACATGGTTGATATTTGATTAGGAACAAGGGCGCCTAACAGTTTTGTTCTTGCCAGTTGCCTCATTTGGCACAGAGCTGTCTTCCTGTAACTAGCTCCGCATGCTGCTTTGGTGTGTCTGTTGTTTTTTGCAGTCTAGACAGGCATCGAGGGCCAGAGTAATCAGAGGCTGTAGGGGCTGCAGCCCTGGGGCTAATGGGATCACCACAAAGATAAATCCCCAGATTGCTAAAAGTTCAGCGGCTCAGGCAGGCTGCCTGCATGCCATGGTCCCTTGCCACTCCTGGAAGCAACTGGCTGCTAACATGTCTCTGCAGCCCCTGGAGAAGCAACTCCATGCATGGCTCCCACCACCAGCACTGCCCCCAGAATGGGAGCTGCAGGGCACAGACAGTGCATGGAGACATGCGTTCCCCCTCTTCCTAGGGACTGTCCCAGCAGCCATCCACTTCTGGCAGTGGTGTGGGGATTCTGCCTGATCCCTGGGGCACTGCTGGCTAAGAGCTGCCTATGGTAAGTGCCTCCCAAAGGGTGGGCTCCTGCTTCCTGGCTAGAGGACAGATCTG